GCATTTTTCGGCGTCACATTGTTCAGCTCTGGCAGAATTATTTTCATCGATTTCATGCAAGACTTTCATGCAAGACTTCTTGCAACACGGCCAGAGCTTATTGTGCACTCGCACTTGTTAAATACGTAATACTTGTGAATTTTATGTAATGTGGTTTGTGTAATTCATGTGGCAGTTTTGCAGTAAAGCTATTTTCATTTACTTATGTATAATGCGTTGATATTTTGACTAGAGGTTTATATTGCTACTCAGTGATGTGCAGTGTTCTCGTTGAAATAATTACATCTGTCTGTTAGAACGTTTAAACTGTCTTGTTAACACTTTTATTTGTCAGATGACAGCTATCGCTTGGATATCGATGAAAGTTTAATGTAGGTTTTCCCGGCCTTTTTCCTAAAATGTTCATTCACTTCTGAAAATCGGTCATTCGTTTTTCGTCTGAATTTGAGAATCGCTCTGAACTCGCGTTTCATTTTCGCTACCAGAACATTCGATTCCATTTCAGTTCAATCAAATAAGTGATTGAGCAGCACCTTTCGTTTATGTCCATTCAGATTCCTTCACAAGACTTCTTTTTCGCTTTTAGAGGGCGATTTCAAACATTCACCATTCTTTTTCTCTTTTAGTTTAATGCATTCGGCACCAGATACAATTAGGGGTTTCTTTTTCATTAACCGTCAATCAAATTAGCTGTAACTGAAATCAATTTAGAAAAGGTATGCTTGCGTAAATGAGTGCACAGGTAACGTAATTGGCCGTCTGTTTCTCCAAACCGAATGCACGGACAATGAAAACGATTGAACTTTCGTTGAATTGAAATGGGATTAAAGACGTGCATACAAATTCAGCCGAAAACGAAGACCAATTTTCAGAAGTGAATGATAATTGGCCGGGAAAACCTATACTTATATCATTTATATCGCTTTAAGTGATACAACTGATATAAGCGGTTGGTCCTGGAATTAACATGAGACACGTGCACGGGCATAGTAAATGGTTGAAAAGAACGTGTAACTTAAAAGTGTATTATTGTTTCAATTGTTCATTTGTTAAATGTATATCTGTAATAATGTAACCTTGGTGATATGTTCGGCTTTTAAATAAAATGGAAGGAAGGATGATGGTCTGTAAAATGGTTGATTGCAATTAAGCGAATACCTAAAGACAAAAGTTAATGAAATTGCATACATACCTGAATTAATTCACTGCTTAAAGTTAAGAGAACATATCTCTTAATTTGAAACAACATTTTGTTATCATTTTAAAATGATTTCTATAATCACTGACAAATAATTGCATTGAAGACGTATCCTTATCGACCTACCCTAAACCGAACTGAGTTAGAAAATATAACGCAACGTTCTAGTATTCCAATGCACGACCTTTGAACGCTTCTAGTACTTTTCGTATGCGCATTCTAAGATATGGGGTTTGTGTTGACGGTAGTGGCTAGCGAATGAGGGCGCTGCTTCAGCCAAATTATGCACCCTCCCCCTTGGCCCCTTTAGCCAACTCCTGCGCTCGCTCTTACTCAAATACCACCCCACTGATGATTGTTACCTCCCCTATGGTCTCCGTGCGCAAACAAAGAGGGCGCCCTTTTACCTAGCAACGACGTCCCATGGGCGGGACACATACATTTCGCTGGTTGATGAGCGCGCACCGCACCGTTTGTGTGTGACACACGTACATAGGGGATTTGTACAATGTACACGCAGACGCAGTGGCCCCGCTTCGCGGCAAAATATTGCAGTCAGGCAAGATGGCGTTGTTCGGTCACCCCCAACTGTACTTTCTTTGCAGGTGAGGGGGTACTTGTGAACAGAGCGGATAAAGGCTAGGTCCAAGAGAAGGTGAAAGGTTACACACAAACAGCTCTCAATGAAAGAAAGATGATAAAACCGTACAATTGTAGATATCAATTTGTTTAAGGGAAATTGTAAACTTAATCTAAGACTGATACAATCCCACGATTTCTCAACACAGGGCTGTGCGCTCTGACCTTGACATAAACATCTTGTTTCACGGGTCACACTAAGATTGACCATAGGGGCTGTGAAGGGTTCCTTCTGTGTGCGGTATGCTTAAGTATGTACAATCATAGCTCAAACTGTGGTCCATTTTAGTATATGTAACAGCTCGAACTGAACAGCTAAACTTCAACAAACATATATCGTTCATTATTCACTCTAACATCCTCGTGTGTACACACTGAAAGTAAGCCGATCACTCTGGTCCCAAGGAGCGCAATAACAATGTATGTATTTTCTCCCCCATTAGCAATAATGGTCGAGTCTCACATACCACAGCATACACAGCATTTATCGAGGGTTGAATGGGACCTCAATAACAGACTCAACGATAAAATGAAAGATTGGCAGTCAAAGAATCGGCAAATCGAGAAAACTGTGACATCAGTGAAAAGGGAATTTCACCAGCTTTCTAATGGTGCGAGAACCTTTATGTACAGTTCGTGAGTTACAGCGTTGAACACACAGCGCGGCCGACCCCAAAAGGGGATATCCTTCCTGCCTCGCAAAAAAAATTGTTTTGATATTTTTTTAACAGAAATTTGACGGTTCTTTTTTATGGCCCAGATAAAAGTGTCTGTACCTGTGTCTGAAATTTAACATCCTGCATGAAACCTAGTTGATACATTGAACGGTTCTCGAGATACAACGTGATATGTCTTCAAACGGCATGATTTTGGACCTTTTCTGCATGGTTTATCCGTGTTCTCAGCCTGAGTCACTAAGTTTACGCAACAAATCGATATGAAGTTTTTCTCAGCAACCCTTTAATAGCTTATTAACATACTTGTCATGATGTGTTGAATTATTGTTACATCACAATAGCTTTCAAGTTTATCAATCGCAATATCAAATAATCTTTGAAGAGGATGAAAAACTATTTGATGTGCTACAAATTTGAAGCACATCAAAGTTTATTATGTAAAATTCGTATCAAATAACATTATTTAACCGCAATAGCAACAACCAAGTACACCTAATATTAAGTAGGGATAAAAAAGTCCACACCACAATATTTCTCCCCTTTAAATCGAAGTCTGTGTAACGAAGCATAACAACTGTAACATAATGGAATTTAATGAATTAAACTTATTATCAAACAAATACTAATATGTTATCACCGAGTTTGTTAACCATAATCCACCTTTAATGGTAATTGATTATACATTTTGCTCTTTCTTATGATTATATACTTTCAAAATAAAATATGTTGAACTTGTCTGGGATTTGTACCTTTAAACCGACATATTTGTGTTTTTGCGCCATATCACGGAATTCCCAAACGACATCAATAGTACTGGGCGCGCGAGGCCAACACCATAGATGTGGCGGGCGGGGGGTTGTTTCACAAAACCAGAAGTAAAATTGTTGAAAACAACTTTTGGAAATCCTTAAATGTTTAAATTGTTTTCACTTCTTGACGGAGAGGTATTTACGAATGGGATTACGCATGTGTTTGGCCGGTATTAAACAAGAACGTTTTAAACCGACTGGGGCCTAATCGCGAATAATGAGACTCCCTTATTCGCGTCCAGGCCCCTAGTTGATTTCAAACGTACTAACATGCTAATCACACATTTATTCCCTGACTTAAAATCGCATCAAATCATATTACCATATTTAATCGCATTATGACCATACAAGTAATAAGTAAAAACTAAAGACAAAATATACACGCGTGTCAAATGAAGTCTGTGTGACAAAGCATAACAACCTTAAAATCGTGATTCCCAGCTATGATAATACTTAAAATTGTAATCATATTAAACTTAATTATCAAACAAATACTATTGTTATACCTCTGTCTTGAATACTGTATTTCCAATTGCCTAGAACGATCATGTGTTAAGTTTATCAAAACTCATAGCACACTCCCGACATCGCGAACATGATATCCCACGGGTAGTATGCTATGACTTTGTACGTACGGTACGCACTGCGTGAAACGCTTGTATTGTTGGTACCGACGATATTTTCACCATGTTTTACACATGAGTGGGAGCAGCGAACTAGCAGACGACCAGCTGTTTCGAGCACGCTACATGCGTGTGAGTTGACGTTCGATTGTCATGATTGCTGTGTTTACTGCTGCTGTTTGTTTTCGTGATTTTTACATCAAAATCAAAAGAATCCAAGACAGAGGTATATCAAAACAATTGTTGGCTGCTGTGATGTGGGATATGACGTTTTTAACCCAACGGGGCGCTTCGCCTCGATCGGGTGCCATGCGCCCCTCGGGTGTTTAAAACATCACAGCAGTCAACAATGGTTAAATATCTTATCACCAAGTTTGTAGAACATAATCCATATATTACTGATTACATGATAATCGATCCTTTACGCGGTAATTGATTACATAAATTCCACTCTCTTATGATTATACAGCTTTAAACAAAAATAACGTGAACGTTTGTCTGATCTGTACCTTTATACCAAAATATATTTAATATACAATACTTACCAAATACCTTTCCTCAGATAACTTTACTTGATATGTATTTTTAGAGTGTACACAAAACTGCTTGATATTTGTTTGTGCCGATCAACAAAATCATGTTTGCAATTAATACAACAGTAGCCTACAATAATCAGATGGAATAATCATAATGGAATTTCCCGTCAGAGAAAATAAAGTCAAATTGAATTGATTTGAATTGAATTTAGCAGGTGAATATTCATTCCGCGCAATTATCACAAGTCTACAACAGGTCTATATCTGCAACCAGTCAATGATATATATAAGAGATTGAAAGAGATAAATGTGCAATACTTTAAAAGACTGTAAATTAACATCTTCAAAAAAAAGTTTATAAAAAGAAAATACATACTTACACCTTATGTTATAATTACCGATAATGGGTCACTAGGGAGACATTACCCCACTCTTGTGCACATCCCCCTCCCGCATTAATGACCCCTCACCCCAAACCATTTTCCTTATCCTACACCCACGAATGTTGGTATTATTAAACTAATTGGACCACGAGCGATTGATCTAGCTATTTGCCTCTAAATAGGGGCTGAGACATAAAGTCTCTCCCCATTTTCCGTCTCCCAAAGATATAACGTATTATGACGCTTAAGAGTTTCCCCAAAGGTCCTATTTGTTTTTGTAAGGCGATATACAATAAGACAGTAACTTTCAATGTTCTCATGTTTGTAATTAGTGTATAAAAAGCGTATTTTAAGTGAAGCATTATACGGTCATCTACAAGCTGTATTTCAGGCATGCACGCTATTTGCCAAAGCAAGACAAGCCAAGCCTAGTAAAAATGGTCCCAGGGTTCACAAATGTATACTCAATTGATCAGAATGGCTATTCCTTCGAAGTCTTTACATGCATCTGTTCTACACAATGGCCAGATTTAGCCCATTTATTGACGTAATGGGGTAAACGTACACGAAAGCACTGCCCCGCTGTTTAAACAAGTTTACAACCAGTACAAGTTACGAGTGACAGAGTCAGATAGACTCAGTGAGACAGAAAATGGGGATAGTAGGCTGGCCTATGGGACCTGCCAAAACCTCTTAAAAGGTCACGGTCAGAGTAGACTCGAATCCGGGTCAGATTTGACCGGGCACTTCAAGTGCCGGGTCAAAATGACATTTTCCTGAGTCCCTTTCCAGGCCATTTAGCCCCATGAGATGATTTTCCCTTTTACCAGGATTTCGTTGTTTAGCTTCTACACAGCCCAATATAACAGTATCTGGTTTTCTCTCTTCATGCAATTTTCCAAATAGGTGGCCAGTCCGTCCTCGTTGGACACACACATATCCACACTGCACGTAAAATTCAGGATTTTCGTGTTTGTGCTCCAATTTCAACGATCAAAAAATACTAGAAGGTTGCATTACTGGACGTGAACAATTATGGCACTGAACAGTTATATATTTATTGAAAAAAGTGTGTACGTTTAGGCAACTCAAAAAGATTGTCATTCAGTCAAGTGATAATACTTTTCCTGCTGGTTGTGGCAATTCAACCGGTATTAATAAACCCCAGGGGATAAAATGTTGAGATAGGGGAGAGTTGAAATCTTGGTACGTGCTCAGCCAAATACCTGAATATATGCTCTGTACTCTGTTTTTTTTGTCTTAAAAGAGGGATTCACGGCATGGCGAACGGCGCTATTCTGACACAAAATATGTTGTCCTAGTAGTGGGAATGTGTGACTTTGACCTAGAAAAGGACGTTATTTTGACCAATACGCCGCGAATCTCACTTTTAAGACAAATCCGAATATATAGACATTATATTCATTGTTAGTTTGTTTTTTTTGGTCCCTAACCTGTACCAGGATTTCAGCTTTCTTTTTTTTCTCAAGATTTAATCCCCTTTGCGGGAGTCTATTACTTGCCACCACAAGCATGAAACAATTATCATCACTTGACTTAATGACTTATTATATTTTGTCTAAACACTTCTTGAGTGGCCTTCACGCACAGAGAATTTCAATATATATAACATTCATTGTAATATTTGTTCATAGCCAGTGATAAAAGCATCATTTTTTTATTGTTGAAATTGGTACACAAACAACGGAAATTCTGAATTGTGGGACTGGGTGTATGTGGGTTTGTTTTGAGTTCAACAGGGGACGTTGAGCAATAGAGGACAATATCGTCTACAATACCCGAAGGTCCATGATACATCTTTCTAAAAAGTATAAACAAACGCGGGACAATAGGGGGTCCACGAATGAAGGTGTTTACACACCTGTTTGTGTGTTTACATGTACGGCTTTACGAAAGAGGACATACACACAAGTGAGAACAAAAGATCATATCAGTCCTCAGGCGTTTGGGCTCTTATTGAAAACGGTCCTCGATCGTACGGTTGTGAGCTTAGTCTATGTAAGAGAGTTATATTACAGGCCCTGGGACAAAGTGAACCACAAAGCATTGTCCTCGGGCGTATAGAAGTTCACGACCCTGTGTACAGTGTGTGTGTCTCCAGAGAGGATCGACTGGCCACCTTTGGTTTTGCAAATTGCCTGAAGGGATATACCAGAAAATTTTACAGTGGGCTGTGTGAAATTTATACTACAAGTATGAAGTACAAGACCATGGCTTTTAAGAGGCATAATCACCTCATGTCATGCAAAAGAGTGTGAGGTCAAATCTGAACCGGATTCCGGGTCGAATCTGATAAGGACTAATGATAACTATCCACTGAATCATTATTGTATTGTGGACTGTGTCTGCCTTACAACCCCGACACGGAAATATCCAACTCTGCGGTGTGCACTCTTGATGGTGAGGTAGCACTCTGGGATATCTCAGGCAGATCATATGACTGTTTTTGGCTTGCGCGGGCCGGCGGGTGGCAGCAACGGATGCGTCTTACGTAAGGTGCCAAGGCAACGCGAACCTCCTCGCGGCGAACACAGAACATGATGAAGACAATCACTCCCTGACAATTTGAAGGGGAAGTTACAAAAGTTGGCTTAAAAAATAGTTGTAAAAAGTGGCTTTGGTTCTGAACGTCTGTTCAATAAGTGCTCGCAATCGGGGAGATATCATAAGATGCCATGGGTCAGAAGTCCAACTCCATTTTCATGAATTTTGTTTCCATCATCTTGTCTGCGTGAGGTTTTAGAGATGAAGACATTTATTCACACTAATTTGAATGGATTGAGTGTACGCACCAATCAAAGTAATTAGTTTATCTTTCGCAACCTAACAATGTCAGTACTTAACCACTGATTGGCAATCGATCGGTGAGTAAACAAACACAAACACATTTGTTTCTATGACATTGCTGACATTTATGTGCAATCTGACCGATTATAGGTTTGATAAAATTTCTTTATTTGCCTTGAAAAATTGCACAAAGAAATTGACTGGAGCGGGGTTTGAACCTGCGACCTCCAGATAACCGCTCCGGTGCTCTTACCTACTGATCTATCCAGCCCTATGTTGGCGGTTCCTGAATTAGTCAATTCCTTTGTTTTATAATTTGGGGTTCATTTGGTGTCCATTTGGGGTCCATTTGGGGTTCATTTGGAGTTCATTTGGGGTTCATTTGGGGTCCATTTGGGGTTCATTTGGAGTTCATTTGGGTCCATTTGGAGTTCATTTGGGGTCCATTTGGGGTTCATTTGGAGTTCATTTGGGGTCCATTTGGGGTTCATTTGGAGTTCATTTGGGGTACATTTGGGGTTCATTTGGGGTCCATTTGGAGTTCATTTGGAGTTCATTTGGGGTCCATTTGGAGTTCATTTGGTGTCCATTTGGGGTTCATTTGGGGTTCATTTGGGGTTCATTTGGGGTTCATTTGGAGTTCATTTGGGGTACATTTGTGGTTCATTTGGGGTTCATTTGGGGTCCATTTGGAGTTCATTTGGGATCCATTTGGGGTTCATTTGGAGTGCATTCGGGGTCAATTCGGGGTTCACTTGGGGTTCATTTGGGGTTCATTTGGAGTTCATTTGAAAACTGTTTTTACTGTAAATACACGTCAATCCAAGTTTAATTACATGTTTCACTATTTAATCATTTCCCAACGTTTACTTCTGGGTTTAAGGAAATTAAACACATTCAAATGGTCCAAACAGAACATTTGCACAAAAACGACATAGTCCTCATGGCAACAATCACTCAAAAATTAAATGATGCAGTGAATTGAATCCAAGCCAGCTGATTGGTCGTGACAAAAAGACAAAAAAGACAGAATATCGAGACAAAATATTGTTTTTCTCTCTATCATTAGTGTTTTGTATCACACACACAGAAAAAAACTTGCGAAACTACAGTCAAAGTCCAAACAGAACATTTGCCTGAATACTGTATAGTACTCAATGGTATCTGTAAACTTATATCCGGGTAAATATTAACGAAATTATGATAACTCTGGATTGCATGATAGGGCGACACTTCCAGAGAAACGTGCACAAAATTTTTCACATTTTAATGTGACCTAACCCAATTTTATCCTATCCGATCCCAACCAAGTTTGGTATGTGTACGTTTTTTTGGACCACGAGCAATCGATCTAGCCCATTTTCGACGATGAAATTCCTTCGCTAAAGGGTAGTTACCTCAATAGGGCGACACCAAAATTGTCGCCCTATTGCAGTGTGTCGCCCTAATGTAGGGGAAGTCCCGCACAACTTGTCGCCCTATTGCGGGATTCATGCTAATTTCAGCAATTGTTTTTATAATCATTATCATGCCATAATTTAAAATCAAGTGCATGATAAGGGGCTGTGAACCTTCTCTTAAAATAGCATGTATATTGCCAACAAATTGCTAAAATACCTCACAATTACATGCACTTCGCAGCTTGTCTCAAAAGGAAATAAAATGGTGTATTTACCTGCAAGGAGTTGAAAATGCAGAAGAGGAGCTGGAAGGCGAACCTTGCATCATCATGAGCAATGGCCAGGAACCCGAAAGTCCAGGTCAAGCCCATGAGGGCGGAGATTCCCACAGCATTCTGGAGGCGTTTGGAGATCTGCTGGGCGCGGGATGCCTCTCGGACCTTCAGGAGACTGCGCATGACCAAGATGAAGGTGATGATGTTGTGGATGAGGATGAGACCAATGGGAGCAAGGAGGCCGATGAACAACACAAGATCTGGTTTCAGGAAACAACTGGCAAAAAGGGATAAGATTGGGTGTGTTGTCAAAATAGTGTCAGTTTATGTTGAAAGTACATGCTTTTACCAATGAATGAACATACAGGGTGAGTCAAAAAGAGAGGAACCCAAACCCACAAAAATATATTTCATATTTTAAAAACAAAATATCTTATACACCAAACATAATAATAATCGACTGGAAAGCCAATTTCATAATCTACTGTTAGATGAAAAAACTACTGAAATTGCTCAATCCATTAAACGAATATCACCGTTTAAACGCAATGAAACTAAAATCTGTTTTGTCAAAAAAAAACAGTTTAGTTGTGTATTCTGACTGTTTGGAAAAACAAAGAAAATGACACAGAATACTTTTTTAACAACTATCAACAAGTGTAGTTCACCATATCTTTATTAACAACCCTGGTTAGGCAAACAATATGATTTGTAAAATCCACTTTTTTGCTGAGGTATTATCCATGGTGATGTTTGAAGACAATTGTGACCACGATTATTGAAATCGCATTTTTGACGGAAACATGTTTTATGTTAATTGTTTTTAAATGGTGATATTCTTTGAACGGATTGAGCAATTTCAGTAATTTGTTCACCTAAAAGTAGCTTATGAAATTGGCTTTCCAGTCATTAGTATTGTTTGTGCTGAATATATATATTTTTTAAATATGAAATATAATGTTTGGAGTTTGGGATCCGTTTTTTGTTACTCACCCTGTATTACATAATCAGGAAAATCTGATTTTCCAATCCATAATCAGCGAACAATCGACATACTACGCTCCAGTTTTCATCTTTTTACAGAACGACAATAATACCAATATTTTACATATCTCAAAATTGTGCTGGTTTATACACTTTTTATGACACTTACTAGTCCTCGTTGTCGTAGTGGCTTACCGCTGCTGCTAAGGTTACAGTCAGAACTATCAATGGAGATCCTGTAAAAAATATAACAGGCATTTCTGAGTCACACTTAATTGGATAAATGAACTAAAGATAGCACACAGTGTATGTTACTAATTGTTGCAATCAGGACGTTTACGTAACCTCAAACTATATTGGTAGCATTTTTCTTTATTTTAAATTTGCTAAAGTTAAGATTCCGGCAAATTGAAATGTTACAAATTTATATGTTAATTAAGCATCCACACTATTCGAAATTCGACTACTAAAGTTCAGGGTCGATTTTCAAGTCAAACGAAGAGAAACAAGTGCGACTGCACAACAAGCTCTGATCGTGTTGCAAGAAGCCTTGCGTGGAAGTCTTGCAGGAAATCGGTAAAAATGATCCCTGCCAGAGCTGAAAAATGCGACGCCGAAAAATGCGAGGCCGATGACACATATGGGACACCATACCTTTGGTAAATTTTCGGAGACAGTCAAACGGACAGACAGACAGCCCGACCGACCATCTGCCCGACACGTATAGAAGCTCCTGCCAGAGCTCACAAAAATTAATACACAACAAAGAGGAAAAAATACCTAAATGTTCTCTGGAAACTCACCCCACGCAGACACTTTTGTTTTACTATACTCGCATGGACAATGCTTTGTGTTTCCCTTTGTCCCTGTTATATAACACTCTCCCATAGACTAAGCATACAAACTTACTACAGAGGACCGTTTCTAACAAAAGACCCAACTCCCGAGGACTGAAATGATCTGTTGTTCTCCTTTTGTGTGTCGGTCCTCAGGGGTTATGAACACGTACAACATAAAAAGGCTTTCAACATGCATCGTGGTGTATTTTCAGGATACACTTTCACCTAAACATTTGCCTTAATCTCAACTCGAACTTTAGAGTAAAATATCAACTAAGGTAAATTTGAAATCACAAGTGCAAAAGGACTGTATGCAAAGTAACTAGATAACAACAGTGATTATGTGCATAGTTCCAGGAAACTTACCCCACGCAAAGAGACAGGCTTTCACCATGTATCGAGGCGTGTCTTCTGGGAACACCTTCACCGTACTGACGTACATGTTCCTGGCTTCAACGGCCATCCACAACATAGTGGATAGAGTCAGGTAGTGGAGTAAAGCGGCCACAAACACACAACCGCCGCCTGAACCCTTTTGTTAATAAATGTACCAAAATTGTGGTTTGAATAATTGGACTAATTCAGGTGATTCAAAAAGCAGACACTGCCAAGAGTTTGCCACAGAGAGTTCATTCTTTCCCCGGTGCATTGTGAAAGATGGTCGACAAATTCGTAGCGGGGAACATTTGGTATTGTTCGTTTCTCCGGACTGTCGTACAGTTTCGTAAGCGTATGATTGGAGTTTCCGTTTGCCCTTTTCTTCGCTTTGTATCAATACCGTTTTTTTTGGGGGGGGGGGTAAGGCGGCAGAGCGCTATGCCCCAATCTAAAACAATTTAGCTCAAGTTGCCTATTGACACTCATTCAAATGGGCCATGTTTTGTCGACCGTAAACTTGAAAAATTGACTCTCCATGGCAAACTCTTGAATCGCCCAAAATTATGGTGAACAATGGAAATAAACCCTCCATGACGGAAATTACAATAATGAAATCTAAGTTTTAACTATTCATACCTTTATTTAGTTTTTCTCCGATGAGCTTTGGACTTACCCTTGCACTGTCAACGCCGGTGAGGAACACAATGTACAACATCAGCAAGGAGAAGCAGAAATGAATGAAGATCTGCCGAGATTTGCCGGTACGTAGTTTTCTAAGACAAGACAATTTTAATCTAAGTGTCACATAGAACATATATACAGCCGTGTGCTTGCAAAGGCCGATTTCTAAAGGTTACGTACTACTTAAATGAAACAACATGCCCACGGACATGTTCACGTTCGCGGGCGAAATATTAAAAAATTAATTCCTCCTATTTGAAAGACCGTATCTTCATGCAACTTTCAGGATTTGTTTTCCGTTTAATGATCCAACTATGAGTTAAAAATTGTTTTGATATGTTGAGAAGTTTTCATTGAAATTGGTAAACAGGCCTGGTAACGTGTATTTCAAAAAGTGCCAACACTGGTGCTTGCAATATCTGTCAATCTTTACAAGCCTCACGAATATTAATAAGATTCTTATCCATTGTGGGGGTGCAGTAAAAAATTGCAGAATAGCCTCCTTCACGTGTTACTAATTAATAAAAATCACCCTTTATGCCGGCTTCCATTGGTCGATACCGAGACCCACGCGAAGTCACGCCGGGTCACGCTAATGAATATGCTAATATGCGTTTGTCATCGTTGCCACAAAATCAGCTAGGTGGGCCAACCTAAAAAACCGTGCATGTCAGTTTGGTCGGCAACAAATCCTCGTCAAAGTTTACCTTGGTCTTACCTGATAGTGAGATATATAATCAGCGTGATAACCAGGGCAATGATGGACAAGGCACATCCGACCTGGCTGAGGATATCAAGAGCTCTCTTATAAGGAGTAACCTCAGTCTTTTGCCCCTTGATGTCCTACAAGAAAAAACAGCACACAGACTGCAATCAGTAATCATTCAAAAATGAATTTAAGGATATGTATTAACATGAAACTTATTTTTCTATCATATAACAGTATTTTGACACTTCTCCAATTGGTCAAAATGACGCTTCTCCTAGTCACCTTTTCCGGGCAGTTTGACCCGGAAAAATATAATTTTTACACCAGAGTTGTTATTTTAACCAAGAACAGTGTCGTTTTTACCGGACAAATTGGGCAAAATGACACTTCTCCGATTGTTAAAAATGACACTTCTCTGATTGTCCATGAATAGTGTCATTTTACTCGACGAATTATCCTTTTACCTTAGTTGAATGTCGATCAGGTTAACTCTGACCTTGATTCCGAGTCGAATCTAATCTGGAGCTTTCAACAGAAGGAGAAAAACCGCAAAAATGGCAAGTCCATGGAACTTCTCTTACGAGTTTTGTACTTTTAAAGACTGTACATTTAGAAACAGCGTGACATTCCTAGGATGCGTTTGTTTAGCTCACCCAGGTCAACATGGGTAAAGGTAGACGGGTCAGCAACGACAGCCGGGCTTATCGAACCGCGGGTAATCAAGATCCTCACTTGACGCGCTTTGCAGTGGCCGTAGCCACTAACAAAATGCCAGTTTCGGATTGGGTCTCAGCTTTCCAAAGTAGTAAATCTCAAGACCCATTCAGAAACGGGCGTGTTAAAACTCCAAAAAGATGGGCTGAAATTAAAACCTCGGAAGTCGCAATTAACTCATTAACTGATAACCTTTAGACTTACAATTAAAGTCAATTGTTAAGTCCACTTAAGATTTCCGCTGTCCGGCCGCCATATTTGTAGGCTTCTCGGGAATGAACAACGCATGCGTGACGTACTTACACCAGTGACTCTGCTCCACGAGACAATGATGTCAGAGCTAATCGAACGGCATGGGGCTGACCCGTGTCGACCTGGGTGAGCCAAACGAACGCACCCTCAATTGGATCAAGTACGTACCACAAGGATTGCAAAGTTGGTGGCGTGGTAGCAATAGCAAGACACCACGTCATCGGTCATGTCTACGTCTGCGCGCGTGCACCCAACATCCGACCAATCCCCGACGCCGTCCTCGAGTTTAAAGTCCCAGGAGACACACTGGGTGGTGTTTAGTTCTTTGATAGTTGTATTACTGGGTTTCTGTTGGCATTAAAAACATGGATTCTCAATTGTCTGAAAGCTTCAGTTAATCTTCTATAGAAGTGTTTTAATTCATTAACATCATTTAGAAAAGTTCTCTTTTATGAACTCAGGTCTCATGGCGTAACCTTTAAACCTATATAAACATATATTTTAACTTCAGAGCCTTTTTTCTTCTTAACCCTAACGTCACCTAAAGTTAAAAAATACTACTACCACTAAACTGTAGTATGAAATACTTCAGCATTATAAGTGTGCACATTACTCGTATTCTGTAGTACTCAGTTCTTTATCCCAAAGTAATGACTAGGACGTTAGACAGTAACCTTCACAAATCTACATATTGTTTATTATGCCTGACATTTTAACAAAATTTGAAGAAAATTTAAAAAAATCATTTTCCTCATATAGTAAGTTGTCATCACATAATGCCATAATAGCAACATTGTCAGTATACCTCTCTAAGTGTTTCACTTAGGGGAACAAGTGTTTCACTCTAAGTGTTTCACTTCGGCGAACTGCCAAATTCTGATTCGGCAGTTCGCCTGAAATCGGTTTTAGGTAACTTCCATCGTCTCACCTTAAATTGTACCACCACGGGATCCGTGAGGTTGACGAGTTTAACATTTTCCACAGTCAGCGAGACGACAGAGCCGGCAACCTTACGTGTCGTGGTAGCCTCATCTGTGTGTCTTCTGTTGGAAGCTGACTGGAACAGCGTGTCATCGGCGTAGATTAAGAAACTCACTTGCAATGGGGTTGAACCATTACCTTCAAATGCAGACCATAAAACAAAGTGACAAATTGGCAGAGGTTAAGAAAATACTGTGTCAGACGTCAGCCTCACAACTGCTCTGCGATACGGGCAGAGAAATGCATCAAGGGATCAAGGGAATCAAGGGATACATTAAACTAAGCTTGGACATTTCAGTTAAAAATAGAGGTAAATAATGCTCTAGTTAAACAATAATTTCAATTTGTTAAGATAATAGAATCAACTACAGAAATCGTGATGTTTAGTATAGTACATGTAAATTTTTTACCATCAGTTGGTGCTAAAGAATTCACAATGTTCCCAGGAAGTTGCACAGATGCAACCAGATCGATATCCGAGGGAATCTCATCCTCGTACGTCTTGACCTGAGTACCAACCAGTGAACCCTCTTCTGGTGACGCTTGTCCAGGCTGTCGTACAGACGCAAAGGTGAATCCATTACTATCAAGTGCTGGGTCCAGACTGACCGCTTCCACGTGGATGGTTTCCTGACGTATGCGGACCATTCCCTCTTGTTTCAGAGTCAAGGAGACTTGAGTCTCCACGGATCGGACGATAGCCGATGAGGAGCTCCCTGACTCTGAGGTGTCAGAAGCGGGCTCTGCCCTTGTCATGATGACATTGTTGACGGTCTCAAGTACCAACTCTGTCACCTTTTACAGGGTCACAACAACATAATGAACGTGTTTTTAATACAGTCAATCCCAACAGTAATACGATCACAAATGTAATATGATAAATAAACAAGTCAACTAAGAGTCAATAACAAGTCAAATAGCAGGTCAGGTCGCAAGCTAGGCAAAGTAATGTCGCATTTCATTCAGATTGCTAGAGAGTTTACGGTGCTGAATTGTGACTGATCTGGGGTGACTTGTCGTGACTTCATTACGTCTCTGCATAATACGATTCCAAGCACTGCATTGTGGAGACAGCAATACAAGTAAGTTTAAGGTTGCACCATGTATGAAATCTGTATTTTGAGTTTGAGAGGCTCCGGGTTCTTTTTCTGAACCTCATAAACTGAACCAAAAAAGGTGTTACATGGTGCAACTGTGAACTCACTCCTGTTGTCTCTGCATAATGTATTTAGGAATGTGTTAATTAAGTCAGTGAAACTACACAAACCTACCGTTCATAAACCTATCATTCGTATATATTGCTGTTGTTGATACAAAATCGTAACACACAAATATTCTGAAAACCATGCGAGAAGACTGTCTCCATTTTACCTCTGTGTCGCCTGATCCTGCATCGACGATGTTCATCAAAATGTCAGAAACCACCTCAACATCGTCTGTAACATCTGACGCAGATTCTGATGTAACATTGGCCAGAAACTCGGCCACTTCAGCAACATTACCTGCACTCACGTCGACCTGCAAGTGATTGAGGTGTACGGAAAATATTAATGTTAACATTTTGATTGCCAGACAAAGAGAAGGGACAAACGTTCAGTACCTGTATGTGTACGATAAAAAGCGCCATGGTTCAGACTCTGTCTTGCATCTATTGGAATGGAGGACTTGGAGTGGAGGAATTGAGCCTTTTTGTCACATGCACACACACTGATACCTTTTTAGGTCGGCCGGTGTAACTTCATTGTCAAAAAATCTTACAAGAAGACCTTCTTCCTATCTCAACTTTTTTTTACTTTGTGGTTTGCACCCCATCTTACCCTGATAACAAGCACACCTCTTTAACAAGATATGGCATACATCTTCCCTAAACTATCCCTCAACACGCCCTAATAACTGTGAGTAGCTAGGTTTAATAGCTGCCAGACGGTAAACTTTTTTTCTGTTCAAGGGGCAAACAACTTAGCTTCGTCTTCCAACAACTGCCAATTTGCATTGGCATATGATCCAAGGGGAAGCACCTCATTACCTCTGCGACGTCTTCAAGGGTGACGTCACTCATTGTTTCACCGCAGCTGCGAGGTTCAGGTTCCTCCCATTGGAAATACTCAGGAGGTTCGACGACTAAACAGTTCCTGACTGCGCGAGGTTCACCAGCTGCAAAAAGTGTCAAGAGTTGCAATCAAGCTATCAAAAGTTATACTAAGTCATACGTATCAAATGATAACCTACTCAAAGGAACTGTGACAAACAGTATTGTTCAACGTCTGTTGCTGCGTCCTGACTTGTGATTATTTGAGTTGTGTGAAGAGAATACGATATTTTTGCAAACCGATATGACTGTTCACCCTAAATCCATAACTAATTATACAGTTTTTGAGCTTCAAGCTTCATCTAAAATAAATATAGTGATCGTTAAAAAAACAAACATGTTTTTCCCCCCATGTTTACATTAATTTTATGTCCAATGGATGTCCAATGGATGGAAAGGACGAACTTGAACACTGTAAAACTCACTCAATCCTCAAGTACAGCAATTTAGGCCATACATGTCCACGAATCACGGAGGCTTTCTCCAATGGCGAAAGCATTGTGCACACTATTTATGTTCAAAATATATAGTTGTCATGGAACCGTTGCCCTGTATAAGAGCTAGCACAATGTTTCGTCTTTTAAAGGGGCCACCAAGAGCGTACAATGATCCGTGTCCTCCCGGTTGACATCTTAAATCGACGCAGCATATAAGTGTGTGCAACAACACATAGGACATATATGTTTTCATCGAATGGGTGGCCAGGGGTATATCGAACAATACATGTAAATAAAAAGAATTCATACCATTCATTGTCATAAGTGGACATCTCTGTACAGACTCGGCCAATGACCCTGCTGACGTCACAGGCCACGTGAGTTCATTCACTGTTTCCGACGCGCACTGACCTGTATTTTGTTACGAGCATGCAAAATCTACATCACAAGTATATATAAGAACATGTCCTTTCCTTTTATCAAAATGACATATGTTAAGCGCTTAATTATTGAATCTATTGTTTGGATATTTATAACGAAACAAAAACATAGCTACTGCGAGATGAACCTATTAAGTTTTGTTTCTGGTGAAAACGAAACATTAAATATTGGAAATGTTAAGACAGTGAGCAATATTTTCCATTTTAAACCAGACAAAATGCATCAAACACATAACTCACCCTCGACTGTCACAGCGAATGAGCACGTTAGGAAAAACCTGTCAAACGACTGCTTGTAGGTAACATTGTGAGGTCCAATATAAAATTCATCACCAGGATCAGAACTGGAGGTAAAATTTGTAGGCCCTTTAAAACCAGTCAGAGCTGGTTCTAGCCAGTGGACTCTGGCTGCCGGCGAACCGGGATAGGCAAAGACGTTAACGTTTGCTGGGCAGTCAATGGCTACAACTATGGAATAACCAGAATACAAAAAGACTGAACTAGAATGAGGATTTAATTTGGGGGGGGGGTTGGAAGGTGGAGCGAGGAAAAATGGTATTCAGAGAGACTTTGTTTGAAAATATAATTTGTTTCGAAAAAGTTTTACATGCAGATATGAAAGACCCTGAAAAAATAAGAAACACGTTTGGACCTAGGGCAAAGATTATAGAGGTTTCAATGAAATTTGAGATAGAAAGCAGTTGTGCTTTGATAGAATTTCGGATATTTTGCTAACGTACATTGTCTTTCTTCGTGATTCATTGATGTGTCAGTTTACGGCAGTAAGCTAATGAACAAACCTTTCCAATAAATGTTTTGAACGAGAAACTTTCGGGTTCACGAACCCCCCAAAATGAACAGTTTCTTCGTAAAATGACATCATAGCAACAGCGCCATCGGTTGTCAAGAAAAGCGTGGAGCATTTTTAAATGTTGAAAGAAGTGCACCTTTTTTTTTGATGAACCATAAAGGGATGTCAAGCAGTTTTCATACATTTAAGAGGAGTAGAAGGTTGCACAAAATGTGTTCCTAAAATCAATCATTGCATGGCCCTTTAGTGAGCCCGATGAATATTGTTACACAATTTGATTATATTATTGTCCAAATTGCACCTTTAAAATATATAGAGGGCGCTTTGGCCACAGTAATCCATAGTGGATTACACCAGTTCTCAGGTCAGAATAATGTCTCAAAAACAATTCAGAGCTTACTTTGTTCAGCTTAAGTCTTAACCTGCTTTAAGCCACAATAGATATAGTATTTGGGTTGCAGTCAAACCACAGATGGAGCTCTAGAGGTAGTCTTTATTGTTTACTCTCACATGCCTCTTTGGGTCGCCGTTACAGAATATCAATTGGAAATTAAACAACGTTAATATACAAACCTGTAACAGTAACAGTGAATTGACAAATGTTCACATTTCCAGATTTATCTCTTCCTTTGTACATCACCGTGGTAACCCCTGCCGAAAAGGCCCCATCACCAGTTTGGTTGCATTCACGAGGTGTAGTTGCCTGGCAAGTTAATTCCACATCGACGTCAGCATTTGAGTTATCAGAGAATGTTGGCGGTATCCAGCTGTAAGGCACCTGATCGGTTGCTGACATGACAGGAATGATGACGTCATCCGGGCAATCGTAGATCTCAGGAGGTTGGTTATCTGAGGTATTTAAACATGCGCATAGAATAAAAACAGTTGGTAACATAACATTCGAAATGAACATGTACATAGTTTGTCCTGCTTAATCGTTCTTAAATTTAAAGGGTGACCACAAAAGAGTTGTGCAAGCAGACATCTTTAAATTTCTCAAAAAGTATCCAACATCAGCATTTCATGTTGATGGATCATGTTGTTTGTACTCTCTTGTGCATTATCACAGTCAAAATTGGATAACAATCCATGCATACCAACCAGAGATACAAAAGATTATAAATGCCAATGTGTTTTTCAACCGTTCCAATGTGATTTACATCATTTATAAAGAGACTCATTGCAGAGTGCCGGCTGAGCGTCTTGGATTCTTTGTGACGAACATGCAAGATCTACATCACAAGTTTATACGAATATCCCTTTGTCTTTTATTCAAATTTACAACTGTGAAGTGGTTAAATTTTGAACCTACTGGTTCGATAATTACCACTGACTTTGAAACAATTAACAGTAATAAATAGATGCGATCAAATGAACAAGACAACATATTATTGTCATTATTATTTTGTTTTGGAAAAACTATTGAGTTTTGTTTTTTGGAGACATCAAGTCATTGCTCTTATGTTGGATACAAAACTCTACATCATTTCTTGGGCATTTTAAAGACAGGGAACAATATTCGCGTTTGATCCAAACAAAATTCTCCTCCTTGATATTAACAAAAACAGTGAGAAGAAAAGTCTGTACAAATGCAAATGCATCAAACTGTTATACTCACCCTCGACTGTCACAGCGAATGAACACTCCAAGGTAAAACTTTCAAACCATTGCTTGTAGGTAACAATGTGAGATCCAATAGAAAATTCATCACCAGGATCAGAACTGGAAGTAAAATTCGCAGGTCCTTCAAAACCAGTCAGAGCTGGTTCTAGCCAGTGGACACTAGCTGCCGGCGAACCGGGATCGGCCAAGACGTTAACGTTTGCTGGGCAGACAATGGCTACAACTATGGATTAACAAAACCAAAGCAAAAAGGCTACACTATGATGAAGACTGTTTGGGGCAGCGGGCTAAAATATTTCAGAGAGACTCAAGGTGAGAATATGAAAAGCTCCGATATATTAAGAAAGATATTTGGGTTTAGGGCAAGAGTATTATACATGTTTTGAGGAACTTTGAATTAAAAAAGGCAGTCGTGCTTAGGGAATTTTAAATGGCCATGCAATGTAATTGTTAAAGGCAATCCTTCAACATTTATCTTTGTGATCCATGTAGCCTTATATAAAATTTTCGTTTTGCCATTTTGAAGGGTATTTTCGTGCCTTTTAGTGATATATTCTAATGCATATTTCTATATTCATGAGCCAAATTGTGTTTTCGTGCCGTTGTAGCGTGAATATCTGAGATATGGATTTTTTGGTTGTATTGCGCAAGCGTAAGTATAATAATAGCCTATTTATTGGCCTATATACAGGGTGGATAAAAAAACACGAAACCAAGATATTATATCTAATTTGAACAGAATTAGGGCACATGTGAATCAAAAGGAGATGTCCTCTGGTAGGGTTTAATCTCTTCTTTAAAATGACACCCTGATCATGTCATTACATTCACGGTCGACTGAGCAGTGACCAGTTTTATAGAAGTAACTATTTAGAAGCTTGCGCCACTTTTCTATTGTGTTTTTTGTGGCTTCATTTGTCAAAGAGTGAATAGCTATGACTGCCAATCAAGGCAGGTGGAAAAAAAAGAGATTTCACCATAACAAGTGGCGAGAGCCTCTAAATAGGCCCTTTCATATAACTGGTCACTGCTCAGTCAACTGTGAATGTAAGAACATGATCAGGGAGTCATTTTAAAGAGGATATTCAACCCTAAAAGAGGATATCTCCCTTTGATTCACATGTGCCCTACATCTGTTCCAATTAGCAATAATATCTCGGTTTCGTTTTTTTATCCACCCTTTATAAGAGGGTGACTTGTCACGTGTGAGGGATTCACCAATAATAGGGGAAAGGGGTTGGATTTTCAAAGGAGTTGGATTTTCATATGACACCGGGCAGAAATTAAAGTTATTTTAGCACATAAAGTTGCTTTAATGTTGGATATTATGCTGCCAAGATTTTCTTTGGTCTTGTGATTAATTGCTGTGTCAATACATGGCAGTAAACCAATGATCAAACCTTTCCAACAAATGTTTTCAATGAGCAAACTTTGGGTTTACAATTTGATCACAAAACACCCAAAAAGAACTGTGCTTCGTAAATTGACATCACAGCAACAGCGCCATCAGTTGTCCAGAAAAGCGTGGAATTTTCTTAATGTTTAAAGAAGTGCAATAAAATCAACCAAAAATGGATGTCAAGTATTTTTCATATATTTAACAGGAGTAGCAAGTTGCACAAAATGTGTTTCTCAGATAAGTTTATTGCATGGACCCTATATTAAATGGGCCCGATGAATATCAATTTAATATCAATTTAAGATTATACAAAATTTAACATACAAACCTGTAACAGTAACAGTGAATTGACAAATGTTCTCATTTCCTGATTGATCTCTTCCTTTGTACATCACCGTGGCAACCCCTGCCGAGAAGGCCCCGTCACCAGCTTGGTTGCATTCACGAGCTGTAGTTGCCCGGCAAGTAAATTCCACATCGACGTCAGCATTTGAGTTATCAGAGAATGTTGGCGGTATCCAGCTGTAAGGCACCTGATTGGTTGATGACATGACAGGAATGCTGACGTCATCCGGGCAATCGTAGATCTCAGGAGGCTCGTTATCTGAGGTATTCAAAAATGCGCATAGAGTAATAACATTTGGTAACATAACATTCAAAATTAAATGTAAATAGTTTGTCCTACTTAAGCGTTCTTAAATGTACAGGGTGACCACAAAAGAGTTGTGCATGCAGACATCTTTAAATTTCCCAAAAAGTATCCATTAGCATTTCATGTTGATGGAGTATGTTGTTTGAACTGTGTATTATCACAGTCAAAATTGGATTACAATCCATGCATGCAAACTAGAGATACAGCAGATTATATTTGCCCCTCGACGAAAAGTTCGTCCCAACATGACTCTGAAAACATCCATCGAGCTAGAAACTGGTCTGAGTGGTCCATCTCTTTCCAACACTATGCTCGACAGGGACAGTTGGGCTCAACTCATCAAGTCATCATGATGATGCATGAATGAAGAAGATGTTTACCATTTTTGTTGTTGTTACCGTTCCAATGTGATTTACACATTAATAAAGAGAATCATTACAGAGTGTCGGTTGAGCGATTTTAATACAATGTGTATTACACATTACATTGAAATTAAATTCCCATCGGACTGGTTAAAGAACACATATCCAGAGCTGTAACATATACAGCTCTGTTTTGCATGAATGGGTTATGGGGGTCCCCTGTACTCGTTTGTTAATCTGTGTATCAACTGTTCATCGTCTGGAGAACGTAGGTATTATTCATTTCAAACCAATCTTAAATATGTAATACCAATCTCAATTTTTCAATATGTTTGCAGGAAAGTTTGACAAATCATTGTCGGTTTGGAAATAGGCCAATCACGAAAGATTCAGAATATTCTGCAACGATCGAACAGTTAGAAACTATTCCTTTGTATATATCAAATTCTCCGTTAAACTTCAATCTTCCTTCCTTTCATCCGAAAAGTGCAAACTTCTTCGATGAGAAGAACAACACACTGCAGGTGGGGAGACTACACACGTGTGAAGTGCTAGAGTGCAGGTTAAAAAAAGAAATTAACTAAAAAGAGCTCTAACTCATGAAAGTTACATACCCACAACAGTGATGTACACATCGCATGTTGCTCTGTTGTAAGCATCATCCATAGCAGTGTAGTGGAATAAATGCGGAGACCTTGCCAGACTCAGCGTGACGTCATCGCCGACGTCATAACTGTAATAATGTGGCGAGCCCTCTAAATTGATAGTTATTGTGAACGTCCCAGAGTCGTCATAGGCAGAAACAACAGAGTCAGGCAGAGTCACTGTAACGAGATTCTGGCCGGCTTTAGTCTCGACCGTTACATTTGCAGGACAGGTCACGACTGGCGGTTGGTTATCTAGAAAACAAATAAAGGGTTAAAAAAAAACAGATTAACTTCAAGATAATAGTGGTCAGTTTGTTGTTAAGTTGTTTTCTATAAATTACCTTTGCTGTTTGTGGCAGTTATTGCGTTTATGTCATTACGAAAGTTTCGCTTCTGTCGTTGCGACAGGTCTTGTGATTAGAGTCATCCATTCCTTCCTTGACAGGCGCCGTAACAGTTCTAGATCTGTGGAGTTGTGCATGGTTACATTGTGACAGCCCCCAATTGCCCTTACCCAATTTGATATGAACAGTAGCCAATTGTCTGGGTATACTCGTTGTTCGTGAGCGGTAATGGCCACTCACCTGACGGAGGTAAGGTAAAGTTGGATGCTGTGTTACACCTCACCCCAACATCATAATGGTGTCTACATCCACTGTTAAACCACCCATCGTTCCTACACTGTTCAATGCTCGATTCAGTTCCAACACAGGCAACGTTTCTCAAAAAGATCAGTCCTGTTCCTCGACCGAAGCGACCATACCGCCAAGCTTGAGAAGCAGAAGGGTAGCCGAGCTGTCGACAGATGACGTTGGCGTCCTCAATGTCCCATCCGTTGTTGCAAATGGTTCCCCAGAAGCATGTATGAAACACCTCCACTCTACCTTCGTTGGGGGCGTTCCCATTAACAAGACGCACTAAAACTGAGGTAAAATCATGAATACAATAATCAATGATGAACTTGTGGCGGCGAAAGATGTCATGGGATTAACTTTTTCAGAAAGAAAACATACCACCTTATGAAGTGAAAATACCACACAAAATGTTTTTATTCATGGTGGGAAAATGTTAAAACAATATATGTTTAATTGACAAAGGCAACGTTTTATCTTTAGGTAGAGACAAGATGGTTACGCCTACATAACTGTTTTACATGGGTCCAAGCTGTGGAATTATCTTAATCCTTCTCTTAAAAATGTACGTAAATGTATCATTATTCCAACCCAATTAATTAACAAATATTTGGTAGTATAATCTCCTTTTATAACACGAAATAGTCATAATGTTAATTCGTATTACTTGCTCTGTACCATTTTTTTTTTACTTTTGTCTTTACCCTTGTAACCGTAGTTGGTCTTTGTTAACTTCACAAAGTGGGGCCTCCATTCGACAAGCTCATGCTTTTCGGAGACCCCCTTCCATACACAATAATTCGAATGTTAACACATTTTATATTTACATGTATGTTTTGACTGATTGGTTGATATGGCTGATCAAAGTGTCCGACTTCTCAATTTATATTGAATTGTTCTTTAAGTGCTTTGAATATTTTCCAGTGAAAAAAAAAAATATGCAGGATACTTTAAATACACATTTTACATTTTAAGGAAAGTTAGTATCGCTTTAGAATGGTAATTGCCATACCATAAACTTAAACTTACTTGACGGAGGGGTTGAACTTGTGTATATTTCACCACAAGTCACTCCAGCATCTTGACCATGACTGCAGCTTTGATTGACCCACCCACTGTGCTCACATTGATCAATGCTTGACTCACTGCCACTACATGCAACACTGTCTAGGAAAATAGGTCCAGATCCTTGACCGAAGGCAGCATTCTGCCAAGCCTGGGATGCAGAAGGGTAGCCGAGCTGACGACAGATGACGTTGGCATCTTCAATGCTCCAACCATTGCCACAGATTGTACCCCACTGGTCTTCATAGTAGACCTCGACTCTGCCTTCATGTGGCGTATTACCATTGACAAGACGCACGACTGTTAAATATAATTGAAAATTATGCAACAAAGACGGTTAAAACTTAGGCTCACAACATATTCAACATCACACAATGGGACTTTGGTCCAAGTAAATTATTCAAAATACGTTCAGGTGAGCATTACATGATTTGTTCGTAATTGGAGAGAAACAATTTCTCTCTAAGAACCTGAGACAATATCTGTAAAACTTATTGAACATCTTGGTTTTCTTTTTTCATTACAATTATCGTTTTATATATAACAACACTAACTCCAGAAAAAAACTCAAAACTTTCATTTGCTAAATTTGCTCGTACCAGACTTTCAATGGGGGCACTGTTCAAACTCGACGATTATTTACACTGTATTACAGAATAGTGTACAAATACACCCGTAACTAAGCAGGTTCTGTACGTATTTCGTGCACTTGCGAATATTAATACCAGTATAATTGCTTTGGGGTGTCAGAGCAGGGGTGGTGGTAGCATTTTTTAAAAATGTTTTTCTATGGGGAAAAAAATACAAAAACAAAACATTAAGTTCAGTAAAACATAATGCAAAAACGTAACCAAAATATAGGTACCACAAAAATTGGAGGGAACATTACAAGTCACTCCTACATCGTTGCTGTGAGCTGTGCAGTAATGGTTGAACCATCCTCTGTGATCACATTGCTCAATGCTTGACTCCTTGCCATTACATGCAACACTGTCCAGGAAAATCGGCCCTGATCCTAGACCGAAGGCAGCATTCTGCCAGGCCCCGGAGGCAGAAGGGTAGCCCAGCTGTCGACAGATGACGTTGGCTTCCTCGATGCTCCATCCATCATCGCAGATTGTGCCCCATTGGCACTTGTAGTACAATTCCACTCTGCCTTCATTTGGGGTGCTTCCGTCAACAAGACGCACTGCAACTGCAAACAAAAACCAAAAACTCAAATGAAAGTGTAGGAATGGGCCTCAACATGGGCGTTTTGACCGTCCAGATGCTGACGTTTCAGCAGGCACCTTAATGTTTCTTCGGTAACCCGATGACGGATGGTCAATGTGATAATAGTAGGACAGCCAAATGCGGAAGTCCTCTAGAAAAGAAAAAATCACGGCATATTTTGGTAATAGCTGGCACCCATGCTAGATCAATTATTTGAACCAACCAACAAGATGTGGGTGGGTGCTATCGTTAATTTGGGATTTCAAAGGTCACGAAGGTCCAATGAGGTCAAATTTGGTATTCTAGAATTATATAGCAATTTTTATCTAATGACGAATCTATCCATTGAAATTATTTTCAAATCAATAAGGCATTCTCAGCTCATACAATTAACTAACAAACTTGTATTTCAAAACACAACTGTATTGCATTAGAAAACCGTAACAGAAGTGTGATTTTATGCAAATGTGGATATTGATGTTGTTTGTGTGTCACGACTTTCTATATGATTGTTTTTCTGCATTCTACACATGCAATACACAAACCTTATGTTAAAACAAATGTTATTGTATAACATAAAGCAATGATTTTTGTTTTTGTAAAACGCTTGTTTTTATCCTTTATATTACTTTGTACAGTATGATTGGTGTACATGTGCATGTTACTAGGAGAGGGGCACAGGGGCACCCCCCCCATCCCCACTCAGTAAAATTGGAGAGAACACCTTGTATTGTATACAACGATCACCAAACCCATGGAGTGTTATCTCCATTGAGTGTTATCTCCTGCAAATTAGACCCTGGTATCGCCAATATAATGTGCAGACTGTATGTTTCCTATGTATCAACCATTCTCATCATCATATAGTGGTCGCAACTGAGATCTCGTTCACAACGCTACGCCAGGTGTCTTTATCCCTCGTTATGTACGGATGGTCTTCAACTTCACATTGGGTGTCTCTGCCAATCACGTCAATGTAGTTGAAAGTGTCAATACCGGGCAAAATTGTTAAAATGAAGAGGCGGGGAGAACTGAAGTTTCTTTACTATATTACAAAATTTACAATTTATTTACAAATAATTATATGTACGCATTCACAGGAGATATATTTCCTCCAAAGTCGTATTAAATTTCTAATGATAAATTAAATCAATCAACTGAAGTAATTCCTCTGTTTGATAAAATCTGTCTTGTAATATTTTCAGGAAATTAAATTACAAGTATTTTGAAGGGTTTTTGTTTCTTCTCAATTTACACATTTTCAAGAGTTTCTCTTACTTTCACTCTTTCAATTACCCACAACAGAAAACTTAGAACTTCTGGTTGTTAATTAAAAAAATAAGTAAATGATACAAGACTCAAATATACAAATGTAGATGATGGTGTTGCCAGGTACTGGTGGTGTCAGGTTTTGTTGCACGCCATGCATACATGTACATCTGATGGAAGTTCTATGCCCAGGGCTTCTGCCAGTTTCTGGTGGGGCTGAGACTACATCAGTACTTTGTTTAAATTTAAATTACGATAAACTCAAGTGAAATAACCAGAAATTAAACTTACGAGTTTCTTCAGAAATGGTGTCTTGATCTCGCAGGTTGGGTATCTGTACCACTGCTACTCTATGTGCGAGGCAATCTTGCAAAGATCAGAGCCAAGAGCTGGAAATTGCAGATTGCCAACGGTCTGTCTTGACGACTTTCGTCAAGCTTTACTTTTTTTCGTGTTGAAAAAGAACACTACTGGCTCCAACACCTAAATAATGTGTTGGCCGAAGCGCAGACTTTGCAAAAGATCAAAATTGGTGAAGTGGCTACCCTCGGCAAGGCGCGCGCTCTCACACTGAACACTCAATAAACAAGTACTACCCTTCACAACTATCAAAGTGGCTTTCCTAGAAAACTACAAATAACCCTCTTGTGTAATATCATGAATATCTAACCTCATTTATAACAATGTCTCCTAACTGAAATAAACAAATATAGTCAGTGTGTGTGCAGCCTGTTGCATGCTGCTAGCTTTATTGCCATCTTCTGCATACTTAAAAGTTACATAACTAGTACTCTTAAATAAGTAAGGAAACTATTTGGAGACTGTCACTGAACATAAGAACAACATGTGAAAAACAGGTAAAAGTAATGGAAGAACAAGTCATGGCCAAATAAAAGATGGAGAGGAGGAATAATGGAATAGTCCAGGTAAGTAAACTTTTGGAAACAACCATTTTCCTTAATTAACCCTCCGAGCAGCGCGACGGCAGTTTAATAGACCAGAATTCCAAAAATGGTCATTCTTTTTTTCAATGGGCCTAAAAGGCCAAGCTTCCATGTAATCCTCACCCCTACTATACGCCGCAAGCCTGTAGACTCCCATTGGCCAGACCCTAGCCACTCCGGAGTAAGGAGTGTTGAAAGACAGAAGCCAAGATGGCGCCTAATGCCTTTGTGCTGTAATTGGAGATCTTAGCGGCCAACCCTAAGAGCGCCGATCCCTTTACTGTCAACCCCTCGTGCCGCCCAGATCCCAGAAAAGTTGTAAACAATCCCTGGCCATGTGAATGACCTATATCTTGTGCATGTACAGGCATGCCAGGGTTATTGACCTATAAACACATGTGGTAATACAATTCTCCACGTGGTTCCACGGTGTGATATTTTGATAAGCTGCTCGGAGGGTTTTAGGTATGTTCAAAACAAATTGGGGAAAGGGTAATTAAAAAAATAAGGAACATCTGTGACAGAAAGGTCTTCGTCCTCTATTAGGGCATGGAAGTCTCCAACATAATACTACAGATATGACCTGGTCTACGACACGGTAGCAGTGGTCAGCAAAGCGTACTCGTTGTTGAGCAACAATAGCAGAGATGGGTGGAATGTCTCCGTAAATCTGTTCTTTAGTCCTGTGCGCACGCCATGAGATGCACCCTCATGAGAAGAAGCCTGGTGTATATGCCATCAAGCGATCTTGAAGTTCTTTCTTCGTGGTCCAGGTTTCGGCTCTATAGACAAGAATGCTCTCTACACAGGCTCTGAAGAAGGCCAGCTTTATTGATTGTGCTATACTTGATTGCCAGATGTTATGAAGCTTGTTACAGACAAGCCAAGCTTTTCCTTTGCGAGTGAAGAAGTTCTTCTTACTGTCTGCAACATAGGACCCAAGGTACCGGAAGTCACTGCTTTCTTTAAGTTGTGTGCAGCCGTTGGAGTATATTGGGTGCTGGCTCTCATCCTCATTGATGGTCATGTACTCAGTCTTCTTTGCATTAAGAAACATGCCGACATTGGCTGCAGCATTCTCGAGGGATGTAAACTACAAGTCTTGAGCATCACACAGTTGATGAGCCGTGAAGGCCAGATTGTGCGCGTAGTCAAGATCAGTGAGATGCAGGCTTTGATGACGTCTTGATTGCGTCTCAACCATTCTGTAGTGGCTTAAAGATATCACTGTCCCATTGGAAGTGAGTATTCACTCCCTTTAGAGAGGTAGAGAGACAATTATTTGTATAAATGAACTAATTTAATGAAAGGATTACTTCCTGGCTGCGGTGGCCTTCCTGGTGAATCTGGAGACCGAATCTTGTTCCACATCATCGACAACAAGTCGGGTAGATGAAATGCGGATTTTAGTTGACGCAGGAGGATTCTTCCTCCGCTGTCTCTTTGTGTCCACAAAAGTATGGAGACCATTGTAGCAGAAATACACCAGATGGGGTGGTCAGCTACAAGGCCTTCCAGCTGGCTAAGCTCTTTATGCCGGCAGGTTTTAGGTTGATGTGGGTGTCTGTTACACTTGTTCAGGCCACCGAGTGGAGGAGCGAAGTTGTCACCCAAGGATGACACATTCATTCCCTACTGAACCAATTGAACAAACATAATCTCATCAAGAAGTGTTTGCACGCTTACTGATGCGAAGAGTAAAGTCTTGAAAATTTGACCACTGAAAGGGATGTCTGTCTGGATGCAGTACATGCTTTGGTTAGTCCACATTTCTAGGCTCCTAGAAAATTGCATGCTCTCCCTTACCAGGTCCATTCTCAGTCATGTGAGTATGACCAAAGGAAGCATTTGTCCCAGTTCCACTTCGCAACTACAATCTTGCTTATACCACCTACATACTTTAGGCTTTTGGCTACACCCATGACCTGCCACGTCACCGGTTCCCCATCGTCACAGGAACTGGAGTAGATAGACGGAAAGAAATAGGAGGAGGTGAATTGCACAAGGACTTGATTACAGGGTAGCGAAGGGAGTACGTAGTTCTCAACCACACTCGTAGTCTACGTTGCTCCAAGAGATGTTTCATTGGCGAGGGTTTGCCAAAGCCAACTGAAGCCCTGAGGATGTTGCAGGGGGTTGCCTTTCTGCCGGGGCTTGTCTTTCGCGTGCCGCCAAAAGCGCAGTCATCCGAGTACAAAAAAACCTATTTTCTCATATGGCAAAATTCCATTCTCTGCTTCAACTTCTTGAAACCATTTGTAAACAGATGAAAATTGGTCAACAGATTGAAATTGCTGGTCTTGATTTGGACTAGAAGCAGGTGTGTATGCAGCCCAACAATACAGAGATCATGTTTGATGGCAAAGCCTACAACCCTGATTTGAGAGGACACTATATCATGTATGAAGCTAGATCTGTGGCACATCAAATCGGCTGTTTTCAGCTGCCTGGTTGAGGATGGTTACGAACACGATGTGGAAGTGAAACAACTTGCCCAAAATGTGTTGGTATAGTGGCAGCTAATCAGAAGAACCTTGTACCGCAGTAGGACAACTGACAGATATTCTGAATGTACAAGATCTCATCAAAAATTTTGACAAGAAGCCCTCCGACAATCAAACCTTCAGTCTGTGGTCAACAGAACGGGACGCCAGGTGGAGAGCCTATTCGACTTACAAGATACGTAACGGAAGGGAAACTCCAGCACCATATGTTCATGCATATGCTGAGTTCATTGATGACGCTTTTGTTCCAAATAAATCCCAAGGCACTTCGACTATGCACGCTCCTACTTATGCACATTACAATGAACAAGCCAGAGACAGGTTTTGCATTACATCATTGCACATCACATGAGATCTCAAGGAAAAGATGACGAAGAAATATTGTTTCATCCATACTGAGTTTTCCATTCCAGATGAAGTATGATGATGATGAATATAACCTAATCATATTGATGGGCAGAGAAACCTGATAAACTTGCTTCTGCATAAGGGAATCTGAGGTGCACGCTTTCCTGCAGGTGTAATGCCACTGACTGCTGCAACCCAGCTGGCCTATGCAATACTATAGATACCTGAAGACATTAGGTAAAACACTTTATTTTCCAGAACTGCCATCCAAATACCAAAATACAGATACAAACAGGCAGAATAATGACCGACACGACTAAAATGCCAAGTGTCAATTAATTTCAAATTAATACGACGGTGTATGGTTATATGTGTTTCATGTAAAAAAACCCACTTTTTTACAGTGTAACGTCAAACATGGAGGTGCAATATTTTAAAGTAACTTAATTACAACTCCGGAGTACACCTACAATAAAATATAGGTATTTTCTTATAAATGCATACAATAATTGATGTCCAAATTCTTCCAAAATCTAAAGAAATACACGTTTTGATCTTATTTGATCTTTGACCTTAAAAATGGCCTTTAGGGCTAAAGTCAAAGGTGGCATTCACCTACATTTCCTTCCCCATCCTATGACTGATTGATCTGACATGGTTGCCTGCTATTACCAAAAATGCCGTCCAATTAAGTGTAAAATTCCACTTTGGCTGGTCCAGTATAAGGTCATCTGACAGCTACTGACCAATCAACAGCTTTGGCAACTTTTCCGTTCTTGGTTCGATTTTCGATATTCGACGTTTTAACTACGTTTTGTCTGATATTATAGGTAGGTGCTCTGTGTATACGTATGTTGTGCAGTGAATAGTACGTGTTTTAAAGGCTTTTAAAGGTATTTTTATAGGATCATCATTTGCATTCACCAAAAAAATAAGGTACCGAATTAAAATAAGAAAGCTCACTTTGATTAAATATCGTACTGGTACTTACCATCCTGTGAAATAAGTCCTTCTGGCTTGCTATAATTTGGAAAAATTCAGTATAAAATGAGGGTGATTTCCAACCATCAGTCATAGCTGATTTTTGGAAATGAAGAGTGCAGTGGACGAATTCGTGTGTCGTGATATAAATTCACGTGTGCATCTTTTTCTCTCGAAATATGAGATGACACTTCGCCCTGTTACATTTTGGAAACTATTCTTTGGATTGAAAGTTTGTAGTATTGGAATTGGATACACTTTATGTGTGTGATCATTTACGCCTTTAACATGATATTGTATATTCTACATGCAAACACATTTGTGCAGCGAATTTGAGTGTTCAAATGTGAACGAATGTCGACTATCCAATGTCGAATGAAAACACCCACATTCGGTGTACAAAGCCTAACTGACTTAGAAATTGCTCTTGTTCGCATAACAAACGTATGCGAATGTCGAATATCGAACAGCATATAACAATGCCCATAATCAACGTTTGGTATTATTACCAAACCAGCTTTACTGTCAACTCCATAGGCATCAATTTAGAGCTAAAATACGTTTAAAAGCATGCTTTAAATTAAATTTAATTATTAATTTAAGTGCTTTAAACCGGCAACCAACGCTGAAAATGGAAACAAAACATAACGTACCAGGAGAGGCTGTAGGATCGCAAGTTACAGCGCTAGAGGAATACCAGTAGATATCTTCAAGGTCGAAGCCGAGTTGACAGTCTTCTACAGCGGATTCATTACCATAACATGAAACACTGGTTAGAAGCGCGGGACCTGTTCCTCGACGTCCGAAGGGACTCTCCGTCCACGCTTGAGATGCAGACGGGTATCCGAGTTGTCGACAGACAACGTTGGCCTCCTGAATGCTCCATTCATTGCTATACACATTACCCCAAAGGCATTTGTCATAAACTTCCACTCGTCCCTCATAAGGAGTACGGTTTCTACCAGCCAAACGAAGTGAAACTATAATGCAAACACAGCAAGATGTTAAAGAAACCAATGATTTGTACATTCAATATTGGGTTTTGCCCGTAACCGATGTGTTTGTTAACACTCAGTCTGTATACTCAGTGCTGTGCCGAGTGATTGTGAGAACAAAATACCACGTTTAACGTAACACATTGGTTTACATATCCCCCCGACCAAAACAATTCCATCTATAGTATTTTTTTTAGTTTAACATCGGCGCATGATACTGTTTGATTTTGAATTTGTAGATATTTAACTTGTGGCAGTAATTTCCGTTGCACATTGGTGTAAATTGGAGGCGGCACAGAAGGCTCTCTGATCAAGAAAAGGTTTAATGTACATGCATTTAATTATAAAGGGTTGTCATTCACGTCTTGGCAAAACGGTAATTACGGAATTTCAACATGTAAGACTGAGACCATCCACATCTCTGCCCTTAACACTCCGAGCAGCCCGACGGTAGGTTTTATAGTCCACATTTTCCATATATGGGCATATTTTTTTTCCAATGGGCCAATTAGGCCAAGCTTCCATGTAATCCTTACCCCTACTATATACCAGAAGCCTGTAGACTCCCATTGGCCAGACCCTAGCCACTCCGGAGTAAGGAGTGTTGAAAGACAGAAGTCAAGATGGCGCTCCATGCCTTTTATGCAGTTATTCCAGATCTTAGTGGCCAGCCCTAAGTGCCGCCGATCCCTTTGTGTCAACCCCTCGTGCCGCCAGGTTGTAAACAATCCCTGGCCATGTGAATGACCTATATCTTGTGCAAGTACAGGCATGCCAGGGATATTGACCTATAAACACATGTGGTGATAAAATTCTCCACGTGGTTCCAAGGTGAGATTTTTTTGATAAGCTGCTCCGAGGGTTAAACCCACCGGCGACGCACATGAGAGTCAAATGCTGAGCAAAAAGTCTCTCAGAGTGCGGTGAATTTTTGTTGCGATTTCTGCCTCGCGAGGCCGTGAGGCCAGTTTCTCCCGTTTGATTTCTTTCGCCTCACCGTGTGCGGCGAACCTGAGCTACGTGTTGAGCAAACGGCCTCAAGAGACTTTTAGCTCAGCACGTAGCTCTTGGGTGCGGTGGGCTTTAGGGGCATTGATATATTCTGAAGGCAACATATTAGGGTGTTTCTTTCCAATAAGTTGCTGTGGTCATCATTTGAGGTCCAATGGTTGAAGTGGGAGAAATGGTGCTTCTCCGTAGACCTAGAAAATGTAAGAAATACATTAGCCCTTTAGAACAGAGAACCTCGTCTGTTTATAACCATCATGGGTGATCCTCCATGTTATAACCGTCTATACAATGAGCTCACCAAGTGGAGCCTTTCTGTCGAGTGATTCACCACAAGTCACTCCGGCATCTTGGCTATGACTGCAGTCATGACTGAACCATCCACTGTGCTCACATTGCTCAATGCCGGACTCACTGCCACTACATGCAACGCTGTCTAGGAAAATAGGTCCCGGTCCTTGACCGAAGGCAGCATTCTGCCAAGCCTGGGATGCAGAAGGGTAGCCGAGCTGACGACAGATGACGTTGGCCTCTTCAATGCTCCAACCATCGCCACAGACTGTACCCCATTGGTCGTCGTAGTAAACTTCCACTGTACCTTCATAAGGCGTGCTGCCATTCACAAGGCGCACTGAAACTAGATGAGAGAAAAAAAAATACGTTTGATACCAACTATAGAACCGTTAACGACTTTTTCACTGTTTGATCATTACAAAAATTATCGAGATCTCATTAAACCCTTCACTGCAGTGCCTCTCACAAATGTGTGCTATTAATAAGTAAATATTGCAGGGTTGGTAAAAAAAAAACAGATCCCAAACCCCCATAAATTCATTTCATATTTAAAAAAAGATAATAACGACTGGAAGGCCAATTTCATAAGCTGCTTTCAGATAAAGAAATAAAAGTCTATCACTATTTAAACTCATTGACCCTTGACCCTCTTTCGTCCAAAATAGACACCTATAAATAAAACCTAGACACGACATCCATTATGCTCTGACGTTGTGAATTGAGCAAAAAAAAAAAAAAAAAAAAAAAAAAAAACCCACACAGGCTGCGTATAACGATATGTTACGCGATGCGCGAAAGTCGCGTGGCTTCGAATGATCATCACAGTGCTTCTTTACGGTGCTGAATCGTGGACCCTCACTGTAAAGCATGGAGAAGTCGCTTAATGATGTAGCGCCTTGAGCACCAGTCCTGGTGGATACGTGCGCTTTATAAATATCCACTATTATTATTATTATCATTATTATTATTGATGGCGGCTACACCAGGATGCTGCACATGGCTCTGAATAGACTTGACTCAAGTCGGAATTGCTTGAAGTCGGTTTAAACAAAACAAATCACAAAAAATCACTAAGTTTACATCTTTCCAGAAGAAACTTCAGCAGGGATTCCACTTCAGTGCCGTATAACAATTCGCGCACACTGTATTTACATTGTACAACACGCGTATCATACGTAAAATGCAGTCAGTGGCCATGTCACGCACTCAGCCCTGTTTGACCTCAGTTTCTCGTCCCGAGGTCGCGCACGCATGGCCCAAAGCGTCCGTGAGGTTTTAAGAGATTGATGCGAGACTACAGAAAAATACAGAAAGTGTTTGTATACATGCACTGTTTGGCCAAGATGGCTAAGTATGTGAAAAGTTGAAATCGTGTGCTTTTTTTGATACAAAAATAACTGCTTTTAAAAAATAGAAAGTGTTGTTTCGGCCAGTCAAACAAAATCATATGTTTAATTAACAAAAGCGAGGGCCGATAGTTTTTAGGTGTACATTTGATTCTTAAAAAAGGCCGAAAGGCACGGCAAGATTCATTAGACAGAGGAAAGGATACGCTTCATTTTCATGTGAAACAAGTGCAGGAGACTTCTACTGTTTGGTCCAACTCGCCGGTTGAAAAATGAAGACTTTTGCGAGATTTCATGATTTGCAATCACATACACGCATGTAAAAGAACGTAAGTGCACCGACGTTGGCCTAAAAACATTGTGAATAGCACGTGCGAACGTGTCATGAATGACTTATGAATACTCGAGCTCGACCAATCAGTGGGCGACGTTACGACGTTAAGAACCCATTTTGTTCAACATGGTGAGATTCTTGTGGCTTCTTGAAGATTTTATGCTGGATATGCCACAAGAGGTCCGGAACAAAATAACGCAAATGTATTTGTTCTATTTTTGTATTGAGGTGAAGGGATGGAGGAGGGGCGTGCGTCCCCAGCCCCGAGTATCCGACAGTACAAAACTGCATCTGATATACGGCGTATGTCATACCCTGAGGAGGGACAATGGAAACAAAAAATTTCTGGGTGTTGTCCCTTGAAAGCTGCCGTGAATTTAAATTAAAGGACAGCGCAACAACTACGGAAATAAGACGTTCAAAATGATCATTCTTTTGTTTGTTGATGAAGAAAATAACACTCAAACAACTGCATACAAGGGTTTTCTAAGCAACGCGCACCAGCAATTTAAAACGGGAAATAAATACGAGAAATAAAATGGACTAAACTTCGACTTGAACATGCAGCTTGATAACCCATTTTAAATTTGTTGGAGAAATATCTACTACAGGTCAAAATATTACTTTTACGGACATAAAAATATATCTTTTCATACAAATCTACGGGAAAAAAGGTGCGCGTAACGCAACTTTTTCCCTACGCGCTACAAACATGGCGCCGCCCATGGCAGAACGCGCGTATGTACGCACTGCCGATCTAGTCTTTTTATTCTATATCTGTGCCTGTAACCTTTTACCACCTACGCGCGCGCACGTATACTATCTCCACATGTGTGAAAGTATATAATTTATGAATTGCAGGGCACCGCCGTTGCCTAGAGGTTAGGCATGCTGACTTATGATCAGAGGTCCCGAGTTCGATTCCTTGCTCACCCCCCTTCAGATGTTATTCTTTTTTTCAACAATTTCAAGTTTTATCTTAGAAACGTTAATTTTCAGTCGGATACTACTTGTATAGCAGTAATTTTCTGGAGGATTTTTTAAAAAGGGAAATAAAGTCCGAAATCCGTACCAAGTTGAAAAATAGTAGGCTCCACTCGAGCCTGGTTATACAAATCATGCTCCATAAGAGAGCGCACAAAGTACCCCAGATAGTTGTGTAAACAAAACATTGCAACCTGGATTCACGTCACGCCCACGATGAGAGTTCGCGTATTCTGTACGCGTAGCAATTTGCTAACAGTTTTGAGATCTATGTGCCCGTTGTTGTTTTACCAACACGTGGAATCCGAATTGACCAATCGATAGCTTAGTCCACATTTCAGATTGAAATGACGTCAAGATTTTGTAAAGCTCCGATTGGCTGGCGTGCGATCTCGCACACCTTTGTATGCTTAGATATACAGGGCGATTCAACAAAAGCGGAACCCAAACCCAAAGAAATATGTCATATTTAAAAAAAAAATATGTGGCACCAAAAATAAGAATAACTGTAAAGCCAATTTCATAAGCCACTTTTAGATAAAAAAAAAAACTGCAATAGCTAAAGGCGTTCAAAGAATATCACCATTTAATGCAATGACCCTAAAACCTGTCTCGTCAAAAAAAAAACAATTTATTGTGTGTTTGGACTGTTTGGAACCAAAACAAAATACACAGAATGCTTGTTTCAACAATTGTCACCAACTGCAGTACACAATATCTTTATTAACAACCCTGGTCAGGCAAACAATATGATTTATAAACTTTACTTTTTTAAAAGACGGGCCTTCAAATGGACTTTGTTGAATATTTTTAACATTTTAAATGAAATTTGATCGCTGGTGACGACAACTGCGACAACGATTCTTGAAATGGCATGTTTTGGACGAGACAGGTTTAATGGTCATTGTGTTTAAATGGTGATATTTTTTGAACAGATTGACCAATTTCAATAGTTTTTTCCATCTAAAACTTACTTATGAAATTGGCTTTCCAGTCATTATTGTTGGTGCAACATTTTTTTTTAACCCTTTAGCGCCTGAGAGTACTTGCTGACTACTAAAATTGATACTACTGGCTGTGTGTCTCACTATAGGCTCACTAATTGGAGAAATATTCACATTTGCCAATTTGCATATTTAATTTTCAATTTACGAAACGTCCACATATGTGGACGTCAGGCATTTACAGTTGCGTTATACACTATATTCCTCATGAATTAGGACTGATATAAACTGCGCTGTGGACACGTGTCTGGTGTAAAATTCAACTTCAGTTGCAACATTTATTCATTAAGATGGTTAGTGATAAGCATTCTGGCAATAATTGCCGAAAATGGCAAGAATGAAATGTGGAAATAATGTAAAATTCCGAGCAGGCATACATGTCGTCAGGCATTTACAGCTGCGTTATTCACTATATTCCTCATGAATTCGCTCTCATCGGACATGCGTTGTAAAATACTGTAAAATAGACAAATGAAAAATAACTATCAACATACAACAATTAGTGATGAGCACTAAGGAAAGTACAAAACAAAACAAGAATACAAGTATTTTCGAGATTGTCACTGTTGTTGATATAACATTTATAGAAGTACATGTAGGTGCATACAATACAGTGCCACAATGCCTGACGTCCACATATGTTGATAGGCGCCCTTATCAATTATTGCCCTGTCAGTCCACAAAAGCTGACAATTTGTTTGGCGATATAAATCACATAAAAATATATGATATTTTACAAGGTAAAGTGTCCCCTTACATTCCTGAATCACTACATCAACATAAATTGGCCACCAACTGACCATCACTTAGAGAAAGAAGAATTTCTAAAAAAAAATCTACAGAAACTCACCGCGAAGCTTTACTAGTGGAGGCTGCCATTTTGATGAGTTGTATATAGCCCCCTCAATTGTCCACATTTTGATAGTTATGGTCACAAATGATCACTTTGGGTACAGAGATCACTATGCAATACATTGCAGTATTCTCAGATAGGCATGTATGTTGAAATGATGATAATAGTAACGTCCACGTATGTAGACGCAAGGCACTATAGGTTTTTGGGGGTTTGGGTTCCACTTTTTTGACTCCCCTGTACCAGAAATTGGACCGGAGACAGAGATGTCTCCGTTGGACGACGGCCGATGCTCAACTCAGACTACTTACCAGGTTTGGGGGATGCAATATTACAGGTCACACCCACGTCTCTGTCATGATTAAAGAAGAAATAACCGAAGTCACTTGAAAAGAAGCCGCCGTGATCACACTCTTCAATACTTGGCTCATCACCATCACAATCAATATCCTCGAGGATAACCTGCCCCGTTCCTCTTCCAAAGTAAGCCCCGCCCCAGGCCTGAGCTGCAGAAAGGTAACCCAGCTGTCGACAGATAACGTTGGCATCTTCCATGGTCCAGGACCCGTCACTTATTGTGCCCCAAAAACATCCATAGTACAGCTCCACTCTGCCTTCATTTGGGGTTCTTCCATCGGCTAGACGAACTAAAACTAAAGCGACAAAACCAGTAGAAAGGTTTATGTGCGATGAGGGCATAACATGATAACACACGCTCAGCAAAACTCTAAATTCATTCCAACAGAATACGTTGGGTTTGGGGTCATTTTTTATTTCAGAAAGCTTTCTATTTCTCAAGCCCACAAAGCCCACATGAACTTTTCCTCCTTTTTTGAGTTTTTTGTAATGCTCTTTTCACGATTGTTAATGGAAACTCCAAAATTCGTTCCTGATTTATCGGGGGCAGGTAGGCACTCAAATTTGGCGTTCTTAACTTGGTTGTTGTAATTACTGCTTTTTGTAAGGTATACCATGGAATTTACCAAAGATCAATGAGCAACTCATGACAAAGATTTGCTAATGCTTTAAACGAAATTGCCTAATTATATATCTCTTCTTGGCAGAAGTGTCCCAGCTTTTCTGTTTCACAATCAACTTACGGGGTGACGGTGCCATGACATTACAAGTCACCCCAACAGGAACGTAACAGTAGACACCGAACCATTCACTGTGATCGCACTGGTCGATGTTTGTCTCGTTTCCAATGCATTCGACATTGCTCAGAATAATCGATTCTCCATTCCCGTAATTTCGCCAAGCCTGAGATGCAGAATGGTATCCAAGCTGTTGACAAATAACGTCGGCCTCCCTAATTCTCCAGTTGTTACCACATATTAATCCCCATTGGTCTCCGTACTTGACAGCTACCGTGCCTTCGCTGGGAACATCTCCTTGAACAAGACGTACAGATACTGTAAGAGATTACAAATGAACAAAGAGAGAGAAATACGATTGTGAAATTTATCAGTGACATTTTACCATATGTATGTGACAAGTGTTAAAATATAGCCCCCTTTTTATAAGATGGAATTTTGCGTCGGGGTAATATAAATCAAATTAGGTTTTGACTTACTTTATAGCCCCCTTTATTTGTTTATTTCTATTCCCTTTTATCAATGAGTAACTGTTAATTTACATTGCCAAAGAATCACTCCTGCGTTACCTTTATTTACAGTATTTACCTTTATTTACAGTACTCTCTGACGAAGACAATTCAACACGCCTTATTCATGTCTTCTTATCCGAGTACTCAGAGACCGACAAACATCCTATTAATTAAGTTTATTTATAGGAAACAGGACCAACTCCAGCTAGAACTTGTGTTTTGTAAAGCTGCTAAAATAGTATACCGGGTGGTTAAAAGCCCTCAAGAGTTCAAATGTGCGTTCAACCTTTGGAAACAACACCACTGAATAGTGTGCGTTGCTTGCATGAGCAGTTCTCAACAGCCCCTTCCGAACAGGCGACGGAACAATTTTATGAGGGTTGGGGTGGGGCAATGGGGCAAGATATACTTCAAAGATTATGTTCTTCGTCACTTTAAGGGCGAGCACTACCTACACATATGGTAACGGAATCATGATACATAGCTTTTTTCTCATTGAAGTGAGGCCCCAGAAATATAACCTTTAATTTGATGGGTTAGTCGGTCGAGAAGGATCATTTGTTCAATGTATCGTGAACAGTTTGGCCTGATGCTAAGATCGACGGATTAAATGGGGTATGGTAATACATTGTATTAATAGCTGTATTTCAACACATTATTATTTTTATAGAGCTATATTAAACTACTATAGCGCTGACTAGTGTACAAAGTGATACATGTTAGGCAAATCCATGTCTGTGCACACAAACCTATGGAAAACTCGAAATTCTGTACGTCTTTTGCACAGCTATTTGCATATCTGCGTTTTGTACTCTATACAGGTGCGTTATGGAAAGTCCACTTAGTACTGGATTGGGCAGAACCCTGACTATGCCGCTGCTACACATACTCTGCCACATCCCCAAGATAACTCAAGCGAATTCCTGAGATTCTGGGAACACAATTACCAACATGTGTGGGCGGGTAGCTGTACCCTACGGCAAAAACCTTACTTCAAATGGCGACCTGGAAAGCTACCGTGACAATCGACTTTCGGTGGACACTTTTTGGAGGGCGAGGGAAATTTATACTTACTTGGGGAACAGTCAGCACCTCCGTATCCTGCAGGACAATTACATGAGAATGAATGGACACCATCTGTGCAGGTTCCGCCGTTCATACAGGGATTAGGAGAACAATGATCGTCAATATCTGTCAAGAAATGAAGCCCAAATTGGACCATCATTCAACCACTTTTACTGAGAACTTTATACACAAAGATCAATCGAGATTAGTTAATATCCCACATGGACTATTTCAGCACAATCCTTTATTGTTCAAAGGTTATTAAAGGTGGGATGTAAACATTTTTTTCACATTACTTTTTCTTCCTCTGTCATGATCTGTTACCAGAATCCGGCCTATAGTAGTCGCCATTTTGGGTATTAAGGTTCCCTAGCGGTCCCAATTTAAAAGGTAAACGGCTGGTTACATACAGCATGACAAGCAGCGACCATCATATTTGTTCCTCCGAGAGCATTGGCCTCGGTCTACTAGACCGTGGGCCAAGTGCCAACAAACCGCTTATACTTCGTGACTCTCCTAACCCGGATAGATACTTTGTGTTAACATTGTCCCACATAATGAATACACCTGTGGTTTAATTGATGTTCAAATGCTTGAATTGTTATAGTTAATGAGTCACAAAGATTGGCGAGGAAATAGAGAAGAGTAATATACAAAGCACACTTCACTATAAAGGATAAGGACTGGAAAAGATGAAGTGCAAAAAAACAGTTCAAGATGGATAACAAAGCAACACAAAAGTCACAATGATTATATTGCTAAACTGTTCACACCAACGGTTAATGAAGAAAAATAGCCAAAAATAGTATTACTTCCACTGCAACAAAAAAGCAACTTTGGTATACCGATTTTACAGCAAGGTAATATACTAAAGTTGTATCAATTAAGTAAGGAAAAAGCTGACGTCTTGTCAGAGCAGTTCAGTTCTGTTTTCACCAATGAGGACACCATCGACTCTCCGTCCTTTACACAAAATTAATGAGCCACTACCTGATATTGACAAACACAGAAACAAAGATTAATCCTCACCATATCAAAAAGGGTCGTACCATATCGCCAAAAATGTGGACAATTTGCAGATAGAAATCAATAACACAAACTGAATTTCTGTATTTAGCAACTTTGGAAAAACCACTAGGCTGATTAGTGAAATGTAAATGCGTTGGCGCTGTTATGGAGTGGCATTACACGGCCACCGTATCCATATTCTATGATGTTATTACGGGCTGTTAATAAACGTCTTTCAGTGAATGCTACATTTGAGTCCTGCCGTCTTTAGAACATGGTGTCAGAAATTAGCTGAATCCAGCGCCATAACCGCAAAGAACCGGCAAAATCTTCGGCAATCTTGGTGAACGGATCACAAGGCATCCGTCGGCAGCACCGACTGATCCTGTCACACACGGTAGGCTGTGCAAGAGAACGATAAACTGTACAATTTTCACGCGGAGTTTCCGCCATTGAACACGTGCGTTTTACACTGTGAACGATAGACTGTACATGTACGTATACATTGCACGTTGAGTTCACGCCATTGTCGTGAACGTGCGTTTCGCTGTAAACTACGGAGGCCTGTAACGGACACATCGCGGTGTCCATTACGCACGCACTGCATATTAACCATGGCGCACTCGCTCATTCCCCCACCGGCGAAAATGGACATGAAAGGAGACCAGGTTTCCAACTGGCAATTTTTCAAGGCAAGTTGGCCGAACTATCTAGTGGCCACAGAACTGGATAAGAAAGATACTTCCATCCATGTGGCTACATTACTCACAGTTATGGGGAAGGAGTGCTATGAAGTGTACGAAAATCTGCCACTAACAGACGAACAGAGAAAATCACCACAGCAAATCCTAACCAGCCTTGGAGCACATTTTGACCCTAAACGCAATGTGGTGTACGAACGATTCATGTTCAACTCCTGCGAGCAAGAGCCCAAAGAGAACATTGACACTTTCTTGAACAGGCTGAGAAAGTTAGCAACCACATGCAATTATGGAGCGCTTCTCGATGAAATGCTCCGAGACAGGCTGGTCATAGGAGTAGTAGGCAACAGCATCCGTGCTCGTCTGCTGCGTGAGTGGTCACTGACATTGCAGAAAGCCATAGACATATGCCGCAGCAGTGAACAGGCAGCGATCCACCTTCAGTAGATGGATCCGGTAGAGGCAGAGACAGCACACTTTGTGAAAAACAAGCAGCGGACACAGAAATCTGGAAAAGCCAGCAAGCCTCCGAACATCAATTGCAAGTACTATGGCAAATCACATAGCAACTCGCTCTAAGTGCCAAAAACGCAACCACTATGCGCAGGTTTGCCAGTCATCGGGCACAGACCGCACCAAACGTCAGCCACAGAAATCCACACAGAAGCTCCACCAAATAGATGGAGACGGAAGCGGCAGTGACGAAAGCATATATACAGTGCAGTCAAAGCCCAAGCAGCAATACTTTGTTGAGCTAGCAGTGGAGACGCCAACAAGGGATCTGACAAAGACCATCAGATTTCAGCTAGACTCTGGTGCAACTTGCAGCACCATGAAGCTGGCAGACTACAAGCAGCTCAGTGACACGCCTCCGGTGCCACAAAGACTAAACTGAAACTGTACAATGGCACAATCATTCATCCCGTTGGAGCTGCCAACTTGAGATGCCAGATCAAAGGGGTCACCAGGAAAATCCACTTCGAGATCGTGGAGGATGCCCCCTCATCTCTGCTGTCAGGTAAAGCAGCAGAAGCTCTGGGACTAATGCAGTTCGCACAGGAGCGCTTAGTGCATGCAGTGACAGAGTCACCGACTCAAACCAAGGAACAGGTCCTCAGTGAGTACAAAGACGTCTTCACTGGCCTTGGTCGGCTACCAGGGCACTACCACATACACATTGATCACAGTGTCACTCCAACGCAGAACACCAGGCGCAGAGTACCCATCCCGGTGCGGGCAGAGCTGAAACGAAAGCTAGACAGCATGACAGCCCAAGGCACCATTGCCCGGGTGACTGGGCCTACTAAGTGAATCCACAACAAGGTAGTCGTCAGAAAGCCAAACAAAATCAGGGTATGCTTGGATCCACACGGCCTGAACAAGGCAATTAAGCGCAACCATTACCCCATTCCCACTGTAGACGAAGTAGCCCCGAGACTGAAGAACGCCAAACTCTCCTCGGTGGTAGATGCCAAGGACGGTTTTCTTCAAGTCGTCCTTGATGAGCCCTCCAGTTATCTGACAACATTTTGGACGCCTTACGCGCGTTACCGCTGGTTGAGGATGCCCTTTGGTATCTCATCAGCACCAGAAGAATTCCAGCGCAGGCTCCATGAGTGCCTGGAAGGCCTGGAAAACATTGCAGTGATTGCAGATGACATCCTAGTCTACGGCCATAATCGACATGCCTCGCCCTACAGACGTCCAGGGAGTGCTGAGACTCATCGGAGTGGTGACCTATCTGGCTAAATTATTGCCAGAACTGAGCACAGTATGCGCAATCTGCCAGGAGTCACAACCAGCTCTCCCCAAGGAACCCCTCATGACATACCCAGTACCCAAGACACCGTGGCAGTTAGTTGCGAGTGACTGTTTTGAGGTCAATGGACAAAACTACTGCGTACTAGTAGACCTCTACTCAGACTTTATCGACGTGCGCACCCTGGAAGACATGACTTCCAAGTCGCTAATCAAAGAACTGAAGCCAGTGTTTGCCACCCACAGCATTCCTCACACCTTGATCACAGACAACGGACCAAACTTCGTGTCACGCGAGTTCACGCAGTTTGCGAATGAGTGGGACTTTGAACACACTACCTCAAGCCCCTACCACTCCAAATCCTAAGGAAAAGCAGAGTCCGCGGTCAAAATCGCCAAGGGACTTGTGACCAAAGCTGCCAAAGACAACAGTGACGTGTGGAAGGCTATCCTTGAATGGAGAAACACCACTACTCCGGGAATGTCCAGCTCTCCGGCACAGCGCTTAATGTCTCGACGAACGCGCTCATTCCTCCCTTGCAAGAGCTCACTGTACAAGCCCCAGGTTGTAGAGGCCGTCACCGAGCAAGTCGTGACCAAAAGACAGACAGCTAAACTGTATCACGACCGCACGGCCAAAAGCCTCCCTGATCTGGTTGTCGGACAGCCAGTTCGCGCCAAAACTCGACCCAAGGTTGAAGGCTCCCCATGGACCCCGGGAGTGATAAAAGCCAAAGTTGCGCCATGCAGCTACATCGTAGAAGTCGGTAGCAAATGCTACAGACGCAATCGCATACACCTCAGAGACAGTCGGGAAAACGCGAAACCACTTACAACACCAGTCACATGTGTGAGTGAACCTCGGCTCATGCAGCAACCAGCTAGCACCGAGCCACCCAACTCGAGTGCCGCCAGTCCAGTCGCTAAGGCACAAGATGGACCTTCCGCTCCCACAGACAAACCTCCAGGACTGAACACCAACACTACCATCACCAGATCCGGTCGCATTTCCAGACCACCAAAGAGACTTATCGAGTCATAAATATGACTTTGGGACACTCACCCACAAAGCCTTAGGGCCATAGGCCAACACTTAGTTTAGATAGACTACGCTTGCATGAATTTAAAGGTTAAAGTTGCTTTTACTAAAGTTGTTCTTAAACTAACCTTATTACTAAGTAGTGTTAAAGGTTTAGAGCTGTTTCAAATACGTTCTAGTGTTAAAGCGTTCATAATGTTTGCTGAATTATTCACAAAAGTTTAGCGTTCTTGATCACCACTGTAACAGACCACAGTTTACACTCAAGTGACAGTTCAGCAACAACTAAAGACTGTTCCTTATCTTAAGGAAAGGGGATGTTATGGAGTGGCATTACGCGGCCACCGTATCCATATTCTATGATGTTATTACGGGCTGTTAATAAACGTCTTTCAGTGAATGCTACACTTGAGTCCTGCCGTCTTTAGAACAGGCGCCAGATACAAGTTTTAAGGTCGTCTGTAAGATGGCCGACACAACACATATTATTCAACCTGCTGCTTTAGGGCGCCGTTACATTTTATGACGTCATCGTTAGTTTTACAAGCGGCCAGCGCCAGAGACTAACATCGTTGAAAGCTAGTTCACATCTTTTCCACTTTCATATTATAAGGCACTTC